TTTTAGTTAATATGTAAGTTATTGCATAATGGAATGCCAAGCATTGATAAAAATAGAAAGATACAGGATTGGTTTACTATTTATGCACAAGCATTATTAGTGAAATGCACATGGAATTTCTTATTTTTGCTACATTTTGGACATCTATATGGTCCAGGATGATGTTACAACACATAGTAGCTTTAAAACTAATCAATTATTAAGTTAAAAGCTATAAAAAGAATAGCTTTTTGTTCTTCTAAAAGAACAGTTCTTAAAAGTCCTTAATAGTTTTTAAAAGTTCTTAGAATAACTCTTAATAGCTCTTAATAACCCTTAATAGTTTCTAAAAGTTTCTAAAAGTTCTTAAACAACTCTTAATAATTCTTAATAGTTCTTGGACAACTCTTAATAGCTTTTAAACAACTCTTTAATAAAATAACTTTAACTATTATTCTTTATATATTATTAATAAAATTTATTCTTTATTTTATTTTTTTTATCTTATTTTTCTTTATAATTTATCTTTATTTAGTTTATTTTTCATATAATAATATAAAGTAAAAAGCTGGTTTTTTTTAATTAGTTATTTGGCAAATACTAGCTTTATATTATTCTTTTATTTTTCTTTTTTTTCTTATAATAATATAAATTGAAAAGCTGGGTTTATTAATTAGTTATTTTGGCAAATACTAGCTTTATATTATTGAATATTTTATTTTTCTTTCTGGTAATAATATAAAGTAATAGCTGTATTTGTGAATAGTATTTTGGCAGGTACTAGCTTTATGTTATTAGAATTTAAAAAGCCATATATAGCTTAGAACAATCTGATTTTCTGTTGCTAATCACTTTTTCTAGTGTTTTAAAATACTTCTAAGTCTAGCACAAATAATCCTTATAAAGAGTAAACTATTTGTTAAGCCTGGCTAATACAAAAAGAACAATAAGTTAAATCTTCTCTACAACTAGTCTATCGTAAAGATCCTTATAGTATCTAGGAGACTATTGAATTTAAATTCTATTTAAATATTTATTTCTTATTTTTTTTAGTTATTTTTATTTATTTTATTTTCCTTTAAATAAAAGATCTTCTACTTAACACTTATTGCTTTAAAATTTGTTACAGCTTGATAGTTTTTAGTAAATTTTATTACAATATATAAGATACTGAACAAATATAACAGAAGACAAAAAAAAAGAATTAAACATAAGAATTTTAATAGAAAAACAATGTAAAAGATATGTAAATATAGTCATAAAGATAAGTAAATACATGATAAAGATTATGTTATGCTTCAAACAATTAGAACTAATAATAATAGAAGTCTATATACTACTAAATAACAAGACTATAAAAAGAATTATTTAGCAGAAGATTGTAAAAATAGTTACTAGACAGAAAAGACAAATACTAGTTGTAATTATAGATAATTTTAATTATATAACAAACAATATATTAAACAGACAATATTCACAATCAACAAGTTTTAAAAAACTACTGATTTTTAACTAGATATGAAAACAAGACTTTATAAATATATACAAAAACATGCATCTAACAAGTCAAAAATACATATAATCAAATAAGAAAGCAGCAACAAAAACTAACTATATATAGGTATCAGAAGAATTGGTTTTGGGTTTGCAAAAAACAAATATTAAAAAAACAAAAGAAATTATAGAATGTAATTATAAAATAATAATAGCAAAAAATGAATTAAATACATATTAAGATAAAATAGCAAGACAAAAGTTAAAAAAAAAGACAATTAAGAACTTTATATTTATATAATTAAGCAAAATCAGAAGATTAAAAAAACTATATGTAAGAGTTGCAAAAATGATTAAAAGTAAAAAAAAGCTTAAAAAATATTCAAGAGAAAAAGCAAAATGTAAAAGAATGTATAGCAAAATAAATTGTATATAGAATACAATAAAAGAAGCAATTATTATAGTAACAAATAAGCATATACTTCAAAAAAGAATATATAGCAAATAGAAGAACTAGTTAAAAAGAACAATAGCAAAAAAAAGATATCATAAAGCTTCAAAAATTAATTAAATATGCAAGTATGCAAAAGAACTAAGAAGTAACAGAAAAAAAAAGAAGCAAGACAAATAAATAAGTAAAAACATTAGACAACAAATTAATATTAGGATCAGATCAGAGAGTTTAAATGAAACATCTAAGCAGGAGTGTTAGGTATAACAATTGGTAGAAAACCCTTAGGTGAACTTCTTAAATAGGTAATATAGAAAAGTTACATATATAGCCAGTTGTATACTTGTCTGAAAGTTTAATATAGATTTGTCTATATGAACATATATCATTATAAGTATTAATAAAAAGTCAAAAGACTAAAGAGTTCACCTTAATACTGAAAAAAAAAATTATTGTATTATTATCAAAAGTTGCTAGAATTTTTTAGTTATTTAGTAATTGCTTAATTGTTTAGTTACTTAGTTACTTAGTAATTAGTTGCTTAGTAATCATTAGTCATTAGTTGCTAGAACCTTTTAGTCACTTAGTAATCACTTAGTTACTTAGTTGCTTAATGCTTAGTTACTTAGTTGCTTAATGCTTAGTTACTTAGTTGCTTAATACTTAGTTACTTAGTTGCTTGGTTACTTGTTATTTAATTTATAAATATATAAACTCTGCTAAATTTTTCAAGTTCAATTAAGTAACAAAGACTTCTTTTCTTTTTAATATTGTAAACACATCTTGAAATTCTTTAGAAACAAAAATCTAAAGATAGCTTTTCTTGTTATTACTTTAATAAATAGCTTTTAACTATAAACTGTATTGATACTTCTCTTTAAGCTAATTCCTATAGGCAAAGTTTATCTATTTCTTAGTAAATAAAGTAAAGTTATTAGTATTATATTACTTTTATAAACTGCTTTAGAAAAGAATATAGTTTCTTAACAATATTTAACAAAAGCTATACTTCTCTTTTGAACACTACATATACTTATAAAAGATTCTCTGTTCTGTATTATTATTATAGTATAAAAATAAAGAAGACTTTCATTTATAACATTTGATGCCTTCTAGTAAAAAGATTAAAATTTTAGAAAAAAATAAGTCATTTTGGATAAAACATTTCCAGATATATTAAAAAGTAATCTTGACAAGATTCAGACAAATATAATAATCTTGACAAGAGACCTAAATGAATATTAGTTATTCTAGCAAGAGATCTAAATGAGTATTAGTTATTCTAGTAAGAAACCTAAATAAGTATTGGTTATCTAACAGAGTTTTAGATTTATATTGGATTAAATAAACCTTTTTTTTTTTATAGTTCATACTGTTGCTAAACTTTATAATAAGAATATTTAAAGTTATTAACAAGCATACTTAACTAAATCTTATTCTGTAATAGATATATTTCAAGTATGCTATTCAGATTTATTTTGTCTTCAGTATTTATTTCTCTTAATGTACTAGCTTTTGCTTACCTTTTAGATAATTTTGAACTTAGTACAGAAATACTTTTTTAACCTAACAGCATTCTTTTCAAATTCAGAACAACTTTACAATTCTTATCATTTTATATTCAGATTGAATTATACTTTGCCTTTGTATTAGAAATATTATTTTTAGTTATTGATATTAACAAAACATTGGTAATCCTAAAACAATAGCTTTAGTTTTAGTTAAAAGATATACTAATCTTTTTTAACTTCTTATCTTATTTTTTAAATACCAATGAATACCAAAACACCTTTAACTTTCATTTTAACACTTCTCAAAGTTTTAGTTTTAAAGAACCAGAAAAATTTAGTTAATATAAGAACTAAAAAAAAAAAAAATAAATCAGTAAAAAATAGAAAAAAAAAGAAAAAATAGAAAAAAAAAGAAAAAATAGAAAAAAAAAGAAAAAATAAAAAAAAAAAGAAAAAATAAAAAAAAAATAAAAAATAAAAAAAAAGAAAGTTAAGAAAGAAATAATGAAAACAATTTTAAAACTTGTTATAAAAAAGAGAAAACCTTTTCATTATGAACTTTAAATAGTTAAAAAAGGACCGATATTACCGACCTATTTTTCAAATTTCTTTTTTTAAAAATTGATGATGATCGCAAAAATTAGCCAATAAAACTTATGTCCTACTGTAGATTTTAATTTAACATTACTGTTACCGTATTGCCACTAAAATTTTTTTAAGTACCTATACGTATTGAGTATCTTTGTATGTACATATTATATAAACGAATAGCTTAAATTTAGTGAAATTTCATTCTTTAAAAAAATATGCTGGATCTAGAGTTAAGAAAATAATATTTAGTAACTCATTTTATAGGTATTAAATAAAAAAAACCTTCGAGAAAAAAAGAAGCAAACTGTAGTTTGATATATCCTGTTTAATTAAAAAGTTAATATGTTAATACTTATACATATTTATACTAGTCTCACTAAATATATATATATTTTCTTATTATGCAACTAGAGAAATTATCTTACATTAGTATGTGCGTGTATTAATTTGTTGGGCAACTTAATGGATGATAGAGCATAATTTGGATTAAAATGCAAATGATCAACTGATTTTAATCACGTGAAAAACTAAAAACTTTTTAATATTATAATACATAATACAGGCACCATATATTTTAAAATTTAGAGATGCTATATTATGCGAGGTATAACAAATAGTGCATAGATAAGTTACAGAAAAATTTCTTTTATAATATATGAATGTCTTATTAAACATACATTACAGTTGGTTATATTTTATTAAATAGATGATCATGCTAATATAGAGGCCATAAAAAGCATTGTAGTATTTACTATTTGTTTTATCTATATCTTATAGTTTAGCTTTTGTACAATGGCTTCTGTTGCTGTTTTTTTTTTCGTTCAAGTGGAATAATACCAGTATCAGAAACTACAAGTCTACGATGGTCTGTTTCTTTATGTATATTATTGACTAAGTTTTGTGCTTTTTTGAATGCATCTAAATTAACGACATTATGAAGGTGAGACAGTAAAGCATTTTGATCGCTACAGTTAAAATGTTCTTGTGCCGATGAATGTTTAGATTTAACCAGATTTTGAAGAAACATTAAGTTATTCTGTAATTCATGTAGACATTTTGAAGTAGATTCCAAGAATTCTTTGATTTCTTGTTGATAAATAGCAGCAGCATTTAAATCATCAATATCAGCTATATTATATTTTTGTAGAGTTAATGCAGATGTAGGTACGTTAGATTGTGATACTTCTATTGGAGTATTAGGTCTAAGAATATGTCCAATATAAGTAAGGATTTCTTTAGATGAAGTTGAAACAGAATCATCAGTATTTTTATTTTCAATATCTTCGTTTTCATTATTAATATCATCTTCATCGCTAATATTATTATCATCATCTTCAGAACTTGTAGATATTTTAGATTCATTAGCATATATATTTGATCGAATATTTTGGGATTCTTAATAGGTTAGAAAGGTCATTTCAGGCAAATATGAATATTGTTCTTGCTTACGAAGTCTTCAATATAAAGAGCTGCAGCACAAAGATGCTTGCATATGATTCCTCTTTGAAGAAAGTCAAGGCATTGACAGCAGATATCAGTCAGTTGTCCATATACACATGTTGTGTAAATTACTCCTGGCATAGTTTCAGATTCAACCTCAACATAGATATTCCCAAAAAGTTCTTCTACCTCATATTTTTTTATTTTATTCATGTTAATTAGTTTTTTTGCAAGTTTATCATGTTTTACACTTGGAGACAAATATGCAACTTGTGAAAACTCTTGCATAATAATGTTACGATCAGATGGGTCCATTATATTAAGATCCTTTCATTGTTCTTCTTTTTCACGTTCAAAATTTATAGCAAGGTTTCGCAATGTCAAGATATTAGAAATAACTTTATGCACAAGAACAATATATAGTATATCAGCTCTAAGGGGTCTATTATTTCTTTGAAATCGGTTTAATTAGTTATTTTTTAGATACTCATTCATCTCCTCAAGATGGTTATTCGTAGTAGGAAGTTTTTCTAAAGGAATTCTGAGAGCTTTAGCAGCATTCATTCGTCCATTAAGGCACCAACTAGACAAAAGATCTCCACCCCATTGTTTTTTCAGGTAAGATAAAAAATTTAAACCACCTTCTAGAATTTTTTTATTTTCTGACAAGTTTTTTGTCTTATAAATATACTCTAATGATTCTTTTTTTTTTGTGATATAATTACATACCATCTCCTCACTACTATCCATTAACCGAGCCTTATTTAAGACACTTTTTAAAAATGCTTTTAAGGTTTGTCATAATAAAATTACTTTATTTTCGCCACCACGATCTAATTGTTTATTAATCTCATTCTTGCAACATTGACTTATATGAAAGTAACAAAGAAGTAGAATTATTCCTGGCCATACTTTTGATAATGACTTCCGCTCTTTGATATCAGTATCAGTCATTGCAGCACAGGGGCTAAATATAACAGGAGTAGCTAGAGATTGATTTTTTTTATTATAATTATCACTAATCTTATCACGGAAGATTGTAAAAAGTGGTTCCAGAATTTTACTATCATATTCAGAAGATGTTAATCGATTAGATCGAGGTGGTGTAAAGAGGATAAAAAAAATAGGAATGCCTTTATTATTGCTGTCAATAATCATGACAATAAATAGGAGTAATTTGTGCCTGCTAATTCCAAAAGTTCTATTAACAAGAATGAGGTTTTGATGACTGTATTTCCAGGCATATTCTTGTTGTTCATGAGTGCTAATGATGATCTCGAGGCGGTCATTTTCCTTTGTATGAGGTTGATAATAGAGACATGCATCTTTTAATTCAGACTGATCCACCTTTGATCCAAGTATTTGATCTAGGTTTTTCGCAGCATCATTTTTGATATCAATATTCTATTAATTTCATAATGATTGTTTTTTAATATTAGTAATGTCCATTGCAGTGAGCAATGTTCTAAAATTTCCGATCAGGGTGTGATTTCCAAACACATTTCTCACGATTCTTGCATTCTGAGCAAGTATGTCCGAAGTTTTTACATTAAGGTTTATTAGGTTTCTACACTCTTTTTTACATAAGGTAAGAGCCTATATTGTAGGTCACGTTGTGGCTGAGAAGACAAGCATTGTTCACTATGTTCCAAGTATTCTGCAATGCCACAAATTTCATCATTATGAAGAAAAATTGAGGCAAATGCAAGACACCTTACATATGGATAATGTGTTACTGTTGCCCGGGAAGTAGATGTAGTATTTTTTTCTCTATAACTTCCACTTATACATTGTTTTACAATTAATGTTTTGGTTGATTATCAGATAGCCCATTTGCATCACACATCATCAGGATCGATATTAAAACCATTTTCTTGAAGAAATTTGTCATGATTTACAATATTATGCTCCTAAGACAAATCCTATTCTATTTTAACAATACCGGATGCACCAATATCTAACAGATATTTAAGTCTAAGTCTATCTTCTTCTTTTAGCAAAAGATATGAGCTTAGTTTTGCCTTTACTTGTAGTTTGTAACTACCTCTTTTTTTAATTTCACTAGAAGCTTTAAACTTCGAAGAAGACATTTTAATTTAAAGTC